CATTTCGCAGAGTATTGTAGTCAACACCTCATCAACTCAGCACCACCTCAAAGCCTGCATTTTGGGACCCTTGAGCCTTGAATCCTGGTTACAGCTCAGCATGTCAGCCTTCTAGGTGTTCCCAGGAGGAGGAGCTCAGGAGCGGGGTCTGGTCATGGGTGCTGAAGTCCCACCCTCCAGCCAGCCAAGTCCCCTTCCTGGCCATCCTCACTGCCCTCTCCCTCCAGGCTGTCAGGCTATCCTCAGCATAAGTAATTACCATGACTGTACCCAGGAGGCCCTGGTACACGTGGCATTGCTGGAAAGGAACCTTCATTTCATCAGAAGTCGATGCTCCCTTTATGGCTCCAAATTTCATTTCAGAAGCAGCTCTCGGCTGACCCTTCACAAGGCCCTGCCTTTACCGTCTGCGGATCTGACCCTGGGAATGGACGTCCTGTCCCACCCCCGCTCTGCACCGACCCTGGGACATGCAGGCTTCTTCCTTTGTCCACACACACACACACACACACACACACACTCACTCACACACACACACTCACACACTCACTCTCACACACTCACACACACACACACGCCCCTGATTTTCAGAAAGAGTAATATTTCCCATAGTTTTGCACTATACGGACCCCAGAAAGAATTGACTACAAACAGTCCAGTTTTAGGTGAAACAGCAAACGCCAACATTGCCTGAGCAGAGTCTGTGCATCAGGGACAGGCCACATGCTTCGCCCACATTTCCTGTCTATTCTGCCTGCAAGCTAATGAGGTCCCTTGGACAGACACCAAAGCTCTTCCGTATTCTCAGCACCCTGACCATTGGGGGTTCTTTTCCCCCTTTGTGGTCAGAACTGTCCCTGTCCTCTGGCCCCACCCCCCAGCGTCTCTCTCTCTCTCTGTCTCACCAGCAGGTGCCTCAGGGCAGCAGAGCTCAGACCCTGACCTGCCCTCTGCCAGCCACGCAGCCAGTCTCCTTCCAGCGGGCGCAGCAGGGAGGCCACCCTGGGCTTCTCGCCACCAGGTGGGCAGCAGAGCCATGCTGGGTCCCCTCGACGTCCTGTGCGCCCTCCTGCTTCCCGGTGAGTCCCGACTCCGTCCCTGTGCGGGTGAGCAGGGTGTCCCCAGGCTCCAGCCTGCCCTGTCTCACCGCTGTCCCCCTCGCAGGCGGCGTGGCAGCGCTCAGCATGGAGCAGCCGGCTGTGGTCGTGGGGCGTGTAGGCGGCTGGGCCACCCTGTCCTGCACCGCCAGCGCCTCGGTCAGCTACATGCACTGGTATCGCCACCAAGAGGGAGCTGCCCCCAAGAGGATCCTCAGACTGGAAATGTCCAACTCACATGTGAGCAGAGACGATGCCTTGAGAGAGGACAAGGTCTACATCAAGAAAGGCAAGGATAGCAAAAGCTGTGACCTGTTGCTGCTGAAGCTGGAGAAGAGTGACGAAGGCGTGTATTACTGCGCTGCCTGGGAGAGCACAGCACAGCCTTACGCGAAGCCCAGGTCCCTGAGCAAAAAGTCTCCTCTCCCAGGAGGCTCCATCCTGGACCTGCCATGGGTGCTCCTGACCCCCGTGTCTGCGCTGCTGCCCCGCCCACTGCGGGTTACTGTGCAGTGAGAGAGACTCCGTGACCTGATGCCCAGGCTGCAGTGTGGCTGACTTCTCAGCTCCCTCAGCCCCCGGCAGGCCTGGTGCCCCCTCTGCTGTGGGGGAAGTGAGCTCAGGGCAGGATGTCATGTCAGCCTTTGATGAGCCCCCGGGCCTTCTGTCTTCCACTTCTCCTTGACAGTGACGCCACATGGGATTTGGGGACCAGCTTCTCCCACCTCTGTTCTCTCATCTGTAAAATGAGGTGGTTTAATGCTACAAATATGTGACTGATTTCAGTATTAAAGCAAAATTATACCAATAGGATCACCATGTTCACATCTTATAAAGTTAGTGAACTTCTTGCCAATTAGAAAGAAAGAAAGAAAGGAAAGGAAAGGAAAGGAAAGGAAAG